TGTGTGCACACACGTGTCCGTGTGCCTGTGTGCCTGTATGTGTATGCCTGTGTCTTTGGGCACACATGTGTGCATGTGTGCCTTGTGTGCATGCCTGCATCTCTGTGCACACATGTGTGTCCATGTGCCTGTGTGTGAGTGCACATGCATGGTGCATCCTGCTGCCTCTCCCATCCCGTCTCATCTCCTCTCACCTTCCCCCAGGCAGGGAGGCTCGCAACACCTGCGGAGGAGAGGAGACCCCCACAGTCAAGCAGAGCGGGGTCCGTGTTCCGGGCCCAGCACCTGCTGGCGTGTGGCCTGTGTGCTTTACTTAACCTCCAAGCCTCCTGCTAGCACTCGGTGCACAGGCTTGCTGAGGAGACCTCACACGCCATGTGCCTGGCGCCTGTGTACAGCAGCCACACTGTGAATTTCAGTTCTTCCTCCCTCCTCTGCAGTCTTGAGGGTCCGCGTGTCGGGGATCACTTCTGCTGGGATTTCCAGAGATCGTCCCTTCCCCGGGGTTGCTGTGGCTCTGGGGAGGCGGTGCTGTCGCCTGGTGGGGTTTGTGTGCGGTGGTGTTTCGGATCCTCCCATGTGGCTGCTTAGGCACTGGGTGTGTTTGTGCCGTGGCCAAGGTGGGGACATCCTTGTTGCAGCTGGACTTAGGGGAAGGTGCACCTCGGGATGGGGGCTAAGGACTGTGTCCCCACAGTTCTGAAGAGGGGCAGTTCTGTGCTCACACCTCTCATGGCTGGGTTGCAATCTGGATGCGGGATTCAGTAGCCACTGAGTGCTTAGGGCTCTGTGAAAGGCACCCAGTGGTCGAAGGTCCGAGAACTTTCTGGAAGGCAGCTCACCCTGGGGGATCCCATGGCTCAAGGAAGCCTCAGGTGGCACCTGTTCTTCGTGAGATGATCCAAGCCTCTTTCTGGGTCTGTAGAAACAGTGGGCACTGTGGCCCTCAAGTCTTTGTGATCCTCGCCAAGCCTGGGTGTGACCGCGTGGGTGGAAGCCCCCTCACGCGTTTCGGGGAGATCCAGGTGCACTCCGAGGCCAGGACTTGAAGAGTTAACCTCACGGATGGAAAGGGCCCAGCTTTGAGGCTGAGTGTGATGGCCCAGCTGGCCGCCAGGGGGCCCCCTGCCTTCGCTGGTGCCCGTTCCTCAGAGCCCCAGGTGCACACAGCAGGGCTGGGCTCAGGCTGTGACCCCAGCACAGTGACCTGGAGATGTTGACGTCAGGGTGCAGGCTGGGAGGCCGGTGCCAGTCCAGCAAAGCCGCAGAGTCTGCGTCCTTCTTCCTGGCACTCTCGCACCCTCCCACACAGCCCCCCACGCAGAGAGAGATACCACAGCCATCAGGAGTCTGTCCGGGGACTCCCCCTTGCCAGTGCTGTGCCGGCCCAGGGGCGTGCACAGGGTGGGGCCGGTCATGCCCGGTCCTCAGTTTGAGTTCAGGGGCAGGAGAATTTGTGAACAGAGCAGATAGAGCTGGCTCCCTCACGCTTTCTGTCAATATTTACTGGCCGCTGCGTGGCTGCAGGTCCCTCAGGAGGCCTGGGGCACAAACAGGTGCGCCGTCCGGGCTGCGTCATGGGGTCAGGCCAGGAGGGCTGGGGGGCTCCTTGGCCCAGGAACTGACAGGAGCCTGCGGTCTGGTGGGCCTTGCTTGTGCCTGGTCTGGAGCTGAGAAGGCTCTGGGTGGGTCTAGAGGCTGTGATCATGTGAGCAGTTCCTCCCCGGAGTCTGGGCAGAATTCTAACGTCAGTGTAATCCTGGACCAGCAGGGCATATTCAGGGCCTATGGCTCTGTGGAGGAGGGTTCCTGCGACTCTTTTGGGGAAAAAGGATTCTGTGGCCACATCAGCCTGGCCCTCAGACACAGTAAAGGACCAGGAAGGACCTTCACCCAGAAATGTCAGAACTGACCAGCCCCAGCAGCCCCCATGCCCCAGCCTGCAGCCCCTCTGCCCAGTCCCAGGACGTCCGTCATGGGGCCATCTAACGGGCCTGTCCACCACTGTGTGCTGGGCTGGCCTCACCTGGGTGGCAGCTGGGGAGCTGACATAGCTCACACAGGCCCCACGTGCCACACAGAGCTGGCTCAGGGGCCAGGCAGGTGTCTGAACCTATCCTGGAGTCTGACTCACCAGAGCAGACGTCTACCAAGGATCCTGCTTGGTGATCATGTAGCCATCTGGAGGGAGTCCCCAGAGCTCATGGCTACGGCCACTGGAGACAAGAGGGCAGAGCACTCAGGGAGGCAGCCCACAGTCTGTAGACTGGCTTGTGGGTTGTGGACTGTGGGCTGTAGGGTGTGGGCTGTGGGCTGTGGCCTGTGGACCATGGGCCATGGCCTGTGGGCTGTGGACTGTGGGCTGTGGACAGTGGCCTATGGGCTGTGGGGTGTGGGCTGTAGCCTTAGACAAGTTGCTGCACATCCCCATCTTGACTACCCATGGCGATGAGGAGTACCTATGGCGATAAGGAGTACCCATGCGATGAGGAGTACCCATGGCGATGAGGAGTACCCATGCGATGAGGAGTACCCATGGCGATGAGGAGTACCCATGCGATGAGG